TTTCACAGTGACTGTCCTGTAAATAAAACAAATAAGTAAAAATTCAAAATACTCAGTACTGGAAAACTACTTCTACAAATGTATTACTTAAATAGGATTCATGAGTTGAATGAACTTTTAGCTAATAGTAGGTAATTGATGGCGTTGAGTTTATGCTTTTTTGCAACCTAAATTTCACCCATTAAAATAAATAATGAGGATAAACAGAAAAGCAGTAGTGATGAAAACTGTCAGGACACTTCATACCAACAGCTGTGATTGAGAGAATTCTATTTATTGAGAGCTTCATGGAAAATAGAACCCACATGAATGTAAGTTCCAAGAGATAATTTAAATTCTTGATCAAATTAAAGTTATGGTTGAGAGTTTTCGTATTGCAGGTAATATGAGATTGTTTCAATGGTTAGTACTTATGGTTTTTGGAAAATTTTTTCGTCAAAGTTTTTTTTTTTTTTTTCAGTTACTAGCGTGTATGTTTGAAATCCTGCTAAGGCTATGTGTGTTGTGAATGTGAGACATGGGGTTTGGATGGAGAAGTTTTTTTTGAATTTGTGTGAAACATAGTGATTCCTTACACAGTGCTAATAAATCTCCATGAACTACATTAAATTATCCCTGCTTTGTACTTCAGTGAATTAAAAATCCATGACTCCATAATAATAAATTACAGAAACGAAATTCCAAACCACAGCTTCCTTTTTTGAAATCATTAGTTTTATTAGTTTGCAGCATTAATGTTCAAAACAGTAAAGCCTATATAAATAAGATAAATCACCCAAATTGTGAGTTTTTTAGTATGTGAATGTTTTCACTCATAAAGGAAATCCTTGAAATTACTAAATTGCTATTATTAAAACAACTAGTTAGCTGTGATCAGAAATTAGAGCGCTCACATATAACTAGAAGCTGACGACAAAGTAAGCATGTGACAGTTATTTCAATGGGTTTCCATCAGTGTAATTTCTGAGTAGAATTAGAAAACTATGAGTGATAGTCAAAAAAAAACAGTGAAATTTGTAATATAAACATTTAAATTATGATTTTACTTTATTAATTTAATTTATTGTTTATATCTTATGCATATGCAAGAGTTCCTGAGATCTTTCAGACCCCTGTGGTTTAATATAAATCTCAAAATATTAAAAACATATTGTAGAAAATTAGAAAGCAGATGAGACACTTCGGGACTAAAGATAATTTTACATGTGCAACTTTTAAAGTGATTGCAACACAATTACCCTCTGCTTTCTCTAAATGAAATAAAAGAAACCTACCTTTTGCTTTGTTTTGTTTTACTCTATGACAATTGCTTACAAGCTTGCTTGTAATTAATTATTGACTTAAAAAATGGCTAACAAAAAGACTAGAGACAATATAATGTCGAAATTATTATGTCACATTTATCAGATATACTCAGCACACCAAAGGGTAAAATGCAATGAATGTTGTTTACATCTACAATAAGCAGAGAATTATCAGGTTATATATCAGCACACCTTTCACAATCTTCAAATCATATATTGCTCTTGAATTTATATATTCTAGGCTTTCAACATAATGACTGCAGATGGCAAGATTGTTCCAAAGGTATTATAAGAAGTAGCGTCATTGAAATCTCTGAAGCCTCAGACATTTAATGCAAACTACACAAAGATACATTCCCCCTTGTGGCCCGGCTCCAATAGGGTTAATCCTCCCCCTGTGGGCGCCCGGCACACCCAGGTTTTTTGTCCCGGTGAGGGTGCTGGATTCTGTCCCGGTTGTCCTCTTCCAGTCCAGCTCTCTGCTGTAGCCCGAGAGTGCAGTGGAGGATGGCCCAGGTCCTTGGGCCCTGCACCTGCATGGGAGACCAGGAGAAGCACCTGGCTCCTGGCTTCAGATCAGCGCGGTGCGCTGGCCGCAGCGTGCCAGCCGCAGCAGCCATTGTGGGGTGAACCAAGGGCAAAGGAAGACCTATCTCTCTGTCTCTCTCTCTCACTGTCTACCCTGCCTGTCCAAAAAAAAAAAAAAAAAAAAAAAAAAAAAGAATACCACTTGTTTCATTTTCATTTGGCCAGTATCTTCTAAAATACATGAGAAACGATCTTGCTGAGCTCTTTAAATAACTTACTAACATCCTGGAAAAGATATTGATGTATCCTTAAAGTGACAGAGAATTTGGAGTCAGGGAGGTCTGGTATGGAACTTTGATTTTCCCAATTATCTCTGTATAAGTTTTGACAGTCTAAGAAACTTCATATTCTAAACAATGAGGCAAGAGCATGTACCTTTCAGAGTTGTTATAAAGGTTAGAAGAATCATTATTTTCATGATAAAAAGTATATCTGAAGAGGATGCTTTATCTGTTCATTATCATTACAATAGTTATCTAAATCTTCATGTTAAAAATTTGATACTGATTGTTTGTTCAGGGATGTGATGCAGCAATAAAATGCTGCTAGTCAAATAAAGAGCAAGTTCACTAAAGAAGTATGAGTTTCCCCTTCCATAGCCTTGGAAACTCATGACTGGAGCATAGGGAGATTACTGATGCCATAGACAGGAGTGTCAATTTGTAAAGTCAACAACAGGAGTCACTGTGCACTTACTCCTCATGTAGGATCTCTGTCCTTAATGTGCTGTACATTGAGGCTTAATGCTATAATGAGTACTCAAACAGTATATTTCACTTTGTGTTTCTATGGAGGTGCAAACTGTTGAAATCTTTACTTAATGCATACTAAACTGATCTTCTGTTAAAAAAAAAGAAGAAATTAGCAATTCCCAACTTGACTCTCAATGGGATTAAACATGACAATAGGTCTGATCTGATTTCATCATCATTTAAAAAATCATCTATTATTTTTCACTTTATGTTTCTGTGTGGGAGCAAACTGTTGAAATCTTTACTTAATGTATGCTAAACTGATCTTCTGTATATAAAGAGAATCGAAAATGAATCCTCATGTGAATGGAAGGGGAGAGGGAGTGGGAAAGGGGAGGGTTGCGGGTGGGAGGGACGTTATAGGGGAGAAGCCATTGTAATCCATAAGCCGTACTTTGGAAATTTATATTCATTAAATAAAAGTTAAAAAAAAAAGAAGTATGAGTTTCCGAGAGCAAATCTGGAATCAAAATCATTTTATAAAATACACATATTTTAAAACGTGGGTATATTTAAAATAACAGAAACATAATTTATCTCCAGCCATGGGTCAATGTTGAAGCTCAGGGCACACCACTCCACAATATGATTGTAGGAGAGTAGAACATACCACCCCAAAATATACCTTGTGGAATATTGGTTATCTCTAGTTGGTTATTTTAAGAAACTGCAAACACACAAGTGGTTTTAGAAACCTGCACTTTTAAAAAAGGAAATTTACATCTGTAAATTATATTTTAATTAATAAAGTATCTGTAGAAGTTTTCACAGCTACTTTGAGACACATTTTGTCACCTGCGAGATGTTCAAAGGGGGTAAAAAGACAACTCTTACTCATCATACCTTGCTCCCCTTCACCATCCCATTGTTCATCTCAACCACCTCCAGAGGTCCTTCTGTGGCAGAGGATGCCATTAGCATATGAGCTTCAAACAGCTGACCCTTATTTGAGTTACATATTTTTCTGGCACAGGCAAGCATAAGTCTCAAATATGTGTAAATATTTAAATGATAACCTTGACAAACTGCTGAAGACGGAGTGTGGGCCAAGGTGAGAGCTATAAAATCTTGAGGTTGCAGTATTGAAAAAGCTTTCCTAGTTTACTTCCTATAAATACAGCAGGATTTTACCTACTGGAAACACTGCATGTTCTCACAAAGAAGAGTTAGGAAAAAAAAAATCTTGTTTCTGGAAAAGAGAAGGAGGAAAGTAAATATTTTCAAATACATCCAGAACATTCTTCATAGCAAAGATCTATTGAACAAAGAAAATGACGTTACCAGAGGCTTATCCGATATGGAAGTAGCAAAATTACCTGACTCCGGTCCTCTCAAGCCTTTCTTTATCCTCTAAAGTAGGACAAAAGCAGAAAAGCATTTGTGAAACGGATGCTCTCAGGAAATAGGCTCCTTAAAGACTAAGATTCAATAGTAGGATTGTCACCCACATGAACAGTTTGAGAGGGGTAATAGTGGATTACAGCTGAGAGAGTCAGAGGCACAGACTCTGTTTCAGGAGATTTTGGATAGCCATTAAGACCACAGTGGAGGAAACACAGTATGAGAAATTAAAACCTATGGCGGGCGCCACAGCTCACTTGGCCAATCTTCTGCCTGTGGCGCCGGCACCCTGGGTTCTAGTCCCAATTGGGGTGCCGGTTCTGTCCTGGCTGCTCCTCTTCCAGTCCAGCTCTCTGATGTGGCCCGGGAGTGCAGTGGAGGATGGCCCAAGTGCTTGGGCCCTACACCTGCATGGGATACCAGGGGGAAGCACCTGGCTCCTGGCTTCAGATCAGCGCAGCACAGGCCATAGCGGCCATTGGGGGGTAAACCAACGGAAAAGGAAGACCCTTCTCTCGTCTCTCTCTCTCTCACTGTCCACTCTGCCTGTCAAAAAAAAAAAAAAAATTCAAACCTTCAGAAAGTGTATACAAAAGACATTAAACACTGTTCAACAATAAACACTGAACACAGTTCATCCCCTAGCCAGATTATCAGCCTTCACACTGAAGGTTTGTTTACCTCAGTTTCTGTAAGAAAATGCCAGGCTTTCAACCAATGTTATAAGATGTATGAAAAGCAGGACAAAACACTACCTCAGAGGGCAGTCAGTGTCAGGGAGGCTGGGTGTGTATACTTAAGAAAGTGTTAACATTGTGGTGAAGCTACAGTGATCCAGTGCAGATAGATGAAATGCAATGATTATTCCTTGAGATGTTCATGATGACCCTGTCTCCAAAGAATGCCTTCTTTGTTGACACAGATGAGAACTCCAACAACCGTTGTGCATGCATCCACCATCAACACTCCTTGCAACAACTGAATCTCAGATGAATTAAGGAAATTACAATACACA